GCATATACTGGCTAGAAACGTCCAAAGTATAGAAGAGCAGCATAGGTAAATCGACTTGGACGAGAATTGCGCGCGTGTAAGTCGCGTGTTCACCGGTAAACAAGAAGGGGTGCAAGCCTCGAGGGTCGGAGGCCAGGGGTTGAAGCCATTACCGTCACAAAGCTACCACCAGATTGCCGTCGGGGCTTACGTTGTTTCTCCTCGTCTCTCCTTTCCTCTGAACTCTTCTTCTCGCTCGGTTCGTTCGTATTCATGATTTAAATTCAATTGCCTTTTATCTGCCATCCTGGGTCCCGGAGTCGTTGATGATGGAATCGCTGAGATCAGAGAAATCTGGTGTGCCTCCACTTCCCCTTCTATCTTCTCCTACCCTTTCAAATTCTTTCCTTTTCTACAGTTTGTTCTGCCTTTGTGATATTTTTGCATTTTAAAAGAAAAAATTTGTTATTATTATTTAAATATACTTTCTTAATTATATCTACCATTTATACTGAAATCTTCTGTTGATAGTAATTTTATTTATTTATTCTTTGAGATCTAGTGTGTGAATGATTTTTCTTAGTCTCTCTCTAGATCCCCTTCCTTAAAAGCTAATATTGCACCCAAATATGTACAATACGTTTTGTTTAGTGACACCCTGTATGGTACTGTTATTATTAGAAGCTTTTATTTTGTTCTTGATTAAAGTCTGTTCACTTTATCATATAAGGGCTCGAAGCAATTCGACGTCTCTCGTTTACTATCCCTCCAAAATGTGGACAAGCTGATTGCCGTCGAGCTGATTAAGCAGCGATCCGTTTTACGAGGGTTTCGTTCACGCTTCAACCCCTGAACTTTCGTTGCGCATGTACGAGATACGTGGGTGGAGCTCGACTAGGCGTCGCGGCGTCAGTGGCCGGGCTTCCATAGGTACCTACAGGAGGGGTGGAAAGATCGATTCAGATGTTTTCAAGGAGAAACGCTACCATTGCTGCAGCTTCCATCTTCTATTCTTGATATAAGATAACCTTGTATCTGTCTAGGTACAATATGAAATTTTGCTGATACTTTTAGTTGAATTACATACGTATGTATGTACATATATATGTCAAAATGAAATTATTAAAATTGTACAGACTACCCCACGATAGACCATTAAAAATTGACCAGAGGAAGGTGGAAAATTATATCTACTGGTACGAGGATCCATCGTTCAGGCAGTCTAACCGTGCCAATTAAACAGTAATCGTAAAAGGCTCTAGAAACGAAAGAAAAATGTCTTTCTACGAATTGCTCGCGATTTAAGAAGCACACTTACCTGTGCCGTAACAAGAGCACGCTGTGAACGGTACAAAAGGCGTGCTTGTAACAGAAACGGGCATCTATACAAGAAGGATGGTGCAACAATGGATGCTCGCGATACGGTGCAATTTTACGAGGAGTAAGGTCGAGCCGCCATGATTTAGGGTATGTTTACCTGCATTTAAGTACCTTGACGCGTCCGTGACGGCGAGGACGGGCCAATTTGGTGCAAATAAGGGAAACGCCGTAAGGAGGCTACTTCAAACCCATAGAATTCCTAACAGTTTCTGTAAACACGCACGTTCATCCCCCTATTCGCCCTGCTGGCACGTAATCCGCTCGAAATTCACGGCAAAACTGTTCCGTGAACAGAGTTTATCCTGACTTTTCCTACGTCTTTGTGTTTGAGTAGTTATACATATATGTACTCTTCGTGGACATACGGATTAGAGGATTTCTGTTCTACATTGTTGATGGTAAGTTAAGAGGGAACTATCGATGACGCGAGGCGTCCGTGTGTGATTAATCTATGAAAATTTAATTGCGTTACAATATGTAACGATTGATATACATATATATGTATACACGGTGGGCCACGCAACTGTTTCAGGTGATAACTCCGTTATTAACGCATTCATGAGAAAATGCCAAAGGAAGCGATGTTATCACCTCGAAGGCTTCTCCCTGCCGACATATTTCGCGCCCTATGTGTGTCGAATTAAAATCAATTTTGAATTTTCAAGTTTTTGAATCTTTTCAATTCATTTTGTAAATGTATTTTGTCATTTTGACATAAATCCTATTCCATAAAAATATTTCGCACAACATATTATAAAGGGAGAATGATGAGTATTCGAATTCCTAAATAGGTAATTTAAATTATTTAATATTAAAACAGGTATTTAGTTTGCCAATAAAATACTTATTATTAAGTATTATATAGTTAAATATTATATGTACATATAAGCCAACATTACCTTTCTCGATTTACACAGTTTCTCGTAATGTATAAGTAAAAATTAAAATATTGCCATTTAATATTTCCTAATTTTATTATTAGTTAACAGCATGACCTTCAAAATTAACAAAAAAAGGGAAAAAATCAATTATTTTCAAGAAAACATCGTATATGATCATTAACTTTGGTTTTCTAATTATCTCCTTCGAATCGAAAGTATTAATAATCGTTTAAAGTAAAAAATAAAGATAATAATGTAAAAACGAATGTTAATAAACATTACACAGTACGATTCGCATGCTTCGTTATCAAACCTGTTTATAATTATTAAAATAAGTCAATTAAGTTGGCAGTAAACGTTCATTATTCAAGAAATTAAATAAACAAAACAAGGTATATTAAAGATTCTAATAATAAAAGGTAGTTGTAACACATTAGTGTTGCTTTCAGCTATCAATATACAATACTATAAATTATACATAATTAAATAACTAATTATAATTGACGAATTGATTTTTCTTCAGAATAGTATTTTTTTTTTTTCTAGCGAACAATAAATACTGATACTCAATGAAAAAAATAAAGTTTTCTCGTTTTGACATTACAGAACAGATGCATAAAGTCAAAGAAGCTCGTATTTTTGATTTTCCTTTTGGTTCTTTCCTACGAGCCATAGCTGTAGGAGTAAAACATGAGAGAAAATCTACAATTACAAAATAATCAAATCCTCAAGTATTTCGTTTGCAAAAGAGTCTATATTTACATATGTGAATCCTTAAATCAAAACAGTATCCCTTTTCTCAACAGGAAACTAAAATGTTCTTATAACGCGATCTATTTCAACTGGACGGACATTTTGTTAATCAGCAACAAAAAATGATGAAAAAAAAGAAAGATTTCCTGTATGCATTTGATTTTAAATAAAAACCTTATTTCAACTAGTGTCAGTCAAATGATAATCTTAAACTGGACAAATGTACATGTTACAACGGCATTATTTATACAGTAATACAAATCAACACGTCATTTCATTATTCTCGAAAATCATCAGAGAAGCACATTCGAAGGAATTACTTTATATATATCGTATAATGAAGAATAGCAATATACACTGCTTTATTCATCATTAATATGTATGTGTGTGTGTATGTGTGTGTGTGTATGTATATATATATATATATATAATAAATACAAATAAATAAATGTATATTTATTCATATTTACACATATATTTATATATACATAGATTTATAGCATATGTATATACACGATATGATATAATTTATAACCGAGAACTATCCTTAAACTGTATGCGAGGAGAAATTGTATGTCATAAAACTCATCTTTTAAAACGCTGGTAATATTTCAGAAATATTTTTGTCTCTTCTATATCCTCAGCAACAACACCGTTTTGTTAAGACTTATATTAATTTTTTTTACACAACCCATTATCTTTTCCTTTCCGGTTGTACCATCTTTTACAGAATACCCTGTAAATGCGTATGTTACGGAACATATGAGTAAAACGCACGTATATAATTTAATATAAACGATAGTGAGATTAGCAGGAGTCCTCCTCAGTTGATGAAAATTAGGTGGGATAACAATCGTCAACAACACAACTAAAAACAATATTCGTTAAGACCCATTTCGAATTTGCCAGAGATACAATAAAAATAATTTACTTTGGCTAAATTCGAAAGGGTCTTCAAACTGTGCATGCCATAGATGAGACCTTTCCAAAGATGACTTCCAAAATTAAAAATAGTATTCTTTATTATAGGTACCTTTATCTTCAAAGTACTGGAACATTAATATTAAATCAATATAACAGTTATAAACTTTCTCCCGGTCATAATTAGCGCAGTTAAGTAGTACAGCACGCTATAATTACTATTATTAGATGTAGAAATTATTTTAATTCTTCAAATTATTTTTCCATCATTCTCTACCGCGTAACAATGGAATACGTGACAGAGGAATTCCGCCTGTGGAAAGATCTGCTGTAGAGTTTCAAACAGAGATGTTCAAGAAAAAACTTTGAGTTTCTTTCACTCAGATAGAATAAAGTATAGAATAAAATAGATTATGCGCATTTCTAATCTCACTTTCGCTTAAAACTGTGCATGTGTTGCAAATGGATCGTATGAAACAGTATTTCATAGGTAGTTTATAACAGATACGAAAATCTTGATAACATATACTCATATGTATATGTTCAATGTGAGCAGGTCTGTCTGAAATACGAGTTCCCTGTGACCTTTGCATCGATCCAACATTGTCGAGCACTAATTATTTCCTACGCAAAGGAACAATATGTCAATTTGCTAGCTCGCAATTAGTACTCATGTTTCTGGTGGTTTATCGTTGTACATTTCAAACGTTTCTAATCAAAGTAGCTAAAATTAACATGATTAATATAATATAACGTTAGATTAAATCGCTTTCAACGCTTAAAAATATATTTAAAATGAACCGATAAATACTATAATTTTCCATCAAAATCGAGAACATTTACTTTTCGTTTATAAGAATACTTATCGATCTAATATATTCGAAGGTAGTAAAACACATTGAACGAGATAAAATTTCGTTAGCTTATATCGATCAATATTACTCATCAAAAGGACATTAAAAAAAGAATAATAATAGCAATAATAAATTCACGTTTTGAACACGTTAAAACATCGGTAAGCAAGACATGCAAATATGCTCCAACCTCGAGTTCAAATGAACGCTTCAACTTACAACAATATTCCCCATAATCGCCATCTTGCGAATAAAAAATCATATCCGCTACGATATAACCAGAAGTATAGGCACTATTTTGTGTTTTTCAAATCTTTCATAAAATCGAAAGTATACGATCAATAAAATGATCATAATTAAAAATAAAAAAAAGAAAAGAAAAAATTGTTTACTATTTACAATTCGCATTAGTCAGTTTATGCACTGATTTTTTGCTAATTCAGCTCGACCAATGTTAGAACGATTGCCATGCTCTGTTGTCCTGACGAGCGAAGAAAATAAAAAAGAAAACTAAGGCAATGAGTCAATTCAGCGTTTCTAGACACGTGACGCGCGCGTTACACCGATACAGCTCTTTCATCCGAATTCGAGATAGCCGTTTTAATTTTGTTTAAGTTTGGCGAAATCAATTTCGGCGTAATTAAATCCTTCTTGAGACGCCGGCGAGACAGGCGCGGTGCTACCGACTTCCGGAAGGTCAAGACTAGCGTAGTGTAAGACTTCGGCACCAGATTGCACTTTATCCTGACACTCCTTTTCCAACGGACTCGGTGCAGTGCTAGGCGTAGGTGTCGGCGTTTCGTCTGACAATTTTGGCGAAGATGGTTGTTTTTCAGTGGTTGATTTAAACCCAGACAACGTGGGGCTGGTGTTCGGAGATGCGGTTATCAAACGTGGTGGTTTCGACAGGTGCAAATCGGAGAACTTCTTCGTTATAGCGTTCAACATGTTATCTTGCGAGGTCAACGAATTATTCACTTGATTAACTTGATTAACTTGATTAACTTGATTATCCTTTTCTGCAGGACTAGAAGGTCTATCGTTCGTTGCTTTTGGCGAAGTATTATTCGCTTCCGTTACAGAATTGTTCACTCTATTGTTCGCAGGTTCCACAATGGTACGGTCGTTGCTTTTGGAATTGGTGTTCAATTCTGACAATTCGTCGTTAGTTTTTTGATGAGTAAACGATTTCTCAGGCGACTGAGGGCTGTTCAAGGAGAAAGGAAAGATTGTTGCCGAGGAACCTGTTGGTGTTGCTCGCGGAGGCGACGCCGGAGTACTCGCTAAACTCTCTGACTCTGGACTTCCGTTAAGGGGTAAGAAACTAGGCGTTTTTATAGGTTTGTTTCCTGCTTGGATCGCGATCGGCTGCGAACGCGACTTCTCCTTGCGGCTACCTGTCCGCGTTGCTGGTTTACGATTGTTTCGGTTGCTCATATTCATGTTTATGTAATCTTGTTCCAAGCCTAATCTGGGTTTAAAATTCATGTCGACGTAGTCCGCTGGTGGACGTCGTGGAAGATCAACTGGCGCCGTTCTCGTGGCTCCTAAAATATATTTGAAATCTGTGAACATTAGTAACGAAAGAATATAAAAAAAAAAAAGTATGAAATAATAAAACAAAACAATAACACAGAGAATTTCAAAATGAGGCTATTAAAATAAAAGAACAAACCACGCTTTTTCAAGTGGTAGGGACAGGTCAAGCGTTGACAATCGAGCACGCGATACCGCGTGAGTGGCAGCGAAAGGGTTAAACGAATCGTTTTACCTGGAGGTCCATTTGATTGCACGCATTCTTCTTGCATGGGTGAGGAAATTAGTTTAGGACTCGTATCGGATCGTGACCAATCCTCCATTACACTATCCATTCTCATGTATGGCCCTTCTGCTTCTTCCACGGGCTTCAAAGTAGTAATTATTGGTTTATGCGTAGAAGCAGCAGATATATGAATATGACTATGATTTTGATTGGCAGTGATTGTATTATTATTGTTATTACGATTGATCTGAAAAATTTTAGTATAATAATTGAAACGAGCGAAAGTTAATCAACATTATAAATCAATTTGATAAATTTCAAATTCAGCTCAATTTAATGTTTGAGCAGTGTATCCAAGAGGTGTTATACTATTACAGAAATTATGCTAACTTCAGGATTCAAACGTCATGCGTTCTCCTCTTGACATTTTCAAAACTAATTTCACCCACATTCAGTATACCTTAATAACATAGTAATATTAATTAAAAGTACCTTGTTTATGCGACTCATATCGACGTAAGGAGCAGTCGACGAAGGTGGCTGTCCAGGAGACATATCAACATAGGAACTGGTGTCAGTGGCAGTAGAGTATGAGTGTGACTGAGATTGCGATTGCGAGTAAGATGAAGGCGGTGAATTGAAAGTTGCAGAAATACTGGGTTTAGTAAAGTCTAATTCCATTAAATCCTCCATTCGCTCGGAGGTTATGGAACAACCAGAATTATGTCCCCAGGAACTGGACAGTAATGGCGCAGAGTTTGATTTGTTGGAATTTGAGTGTTCACCAGCACCAGGTAACGGTACAGTAACTACGTTCGATAGCCTTCCAATCTCAGGTTTCTTAGATCTGCTACCTACAGAAAAAGCTCGCACTCTACTAGCTTCTTGCTGAGCAATATCCAATCTATTCAACATAAGAATAAAAAACACAGTTATTACCATATTGTACTCATTACTAAAATATATTATAGAATTTAAATAAACCCTGGTACCTATTTTTACGATGCCTGTTCACAGGTTCCGGTCGAGACCCGATGGAATAAGCTCTCACTGGTCTAGCTTGTAAATCATCCCCAGGTGGCAAAAAGCTTGTTACTTTATCTAAGTGATATTCGGAGAATCGCAAATCTGTACTGGGTGTACCAGAAGTAACGGAACAACTACTGCCAGCATGTGACAAGTCATCAGGAAAGTGACCATTATGATTATGGGAAGGAACCATGTCAACGTATCCATTGTTTCCAACGGGTGCCATAGGTACATAACCTTCTGGTAAAGTATTTGATTCTTCGATGAGAGATGATGCACGAGAATGCGAATGACCTGTCCCTGCACTCATTGGCATATATACTCCACTACGACCGGGACTTGAACTGCAAGGGCTGCACATTTCAATGTAGGAACTTTGCTGAAAATTAAATGAAGCAGATATATTATTACCTCATCATTTCGTAATTATTAACTTCTCGATTGCTCTGCCATGGTACAGTATAAACTCCGATACATTTTCTTTATTAAGGATTATTCCAATCATGATCCATAGCTATACATAATTATATGTAAGTATAAAAAAAAGAAAAAAAAAAAATTAATCCATAAATACGTTATTTTCAATAAACTAGAACGCGTATGTACATCTTATGACCTTCTGTGAGTGAGTTTATAACTGTCTCATGTTATAGTCTCATCTCGATGTGACTCACCTGCGAGGGAGAATGAGACTTAAAATTTGGCGAATATTTGTGATGCGAATGTGACGTGGACCAAGGCGCGTAATCATCACCATTTTCCTCTAAAATAACAGGCTCGTCTGGCGTTAATGAATGTCCATATCGCGATACCGTACCCTCTTCTAATATATTCTCACCACCTTCATCCATCGAAAGAGACGATCCCGCTGAGTCCGTGGAACAAGCTCCAGAAGCGGGACTAATAGGCATTGATGAGATCGGTGGCGAGTATGATAGACCCCTCACGTACATGGAATGTGGTCTCAGTACGTGAGGTACGAAATGAGTACTTCTAGGATGACTTAGTACCGATGCAGGATGACTCTCGCTGGTGGTGCGAGCCCTCGATGGCAAACTGTCACATCTGTCGCGGCCGTTTGCACCTAGAAAGACATCAATTGAACACATTACCTTGAACAGTTCAACGTAGTCAAAAAAATTCGAAAAGCATCCATCCTCCCAGCATAGCAGCGGTTAGTTCATTTGCATGTTCAAATGAGTTTCCATAAAATCTGTATGATATTTACGCATATTTATGTATACAATTGGTTATTTTTCTTTAAACATATACAATGTGTTTTAGATCAAGCAATGGACAGTGATCAAAGAGATGACATTTCAAATGACGATAAAATTCAAATGGAAGATAATGTATATGCTCTGCTCCAAAACAAACAAGGAAGAAAGTGTAGCATACGGAGGAGGAAAAAAAAAGAGGTAATGTAATGTTACTTGACTGGAATGCTGTACAGAGGTATTCCATCAACCGCTTTGTACGATAAAAGAAACTAAAGGAAGCGTTACTTCGTTACGAAGTACCGTGCAACTGGTCGCATGCGATATGGAAGCTTGCACATCAACAACGGCACGATCGTCTCTAGAGACAGACCGTAATTATATGACATAGCAGCAACGATTCTGATTTCGAGCGTTTTATTTTTGCGACTCAAATTCCGCGCAAAAGGAATGAAGTAGAGAAAACAAGAAAACAAAAGAAAAAAGAAAAAAAATAGAAAAGTAAACAAAAACAGAAAAACAGGTTACAGCGAGGCAAAGACACTAAAAGAGGAATGAAAAAGAAATATCTCTTGCTGATTTATCGTATGACGAAACAAAAATACATACAGCATAAAACTGATCTTTTAGATGATTGCATTTGATTGATAATAACGGCAGCTAAGGGCAGCGACAGGGTTCTCTGATGGGATATTGTAGCGGTCGCGGTTGTGGTGGTCACAGTAGCGGTCGTAGTGATGGTAATAGTGGTGGTTGTTGTTGTACTTGTTGTAACATGAACGGATTGGGAATTATTGACGGAATGGGGATGACTCGCTACCGAATGACGACGTCTAGTGGTAGTGGCACAGTTGGTATTAGTCGAGGCATTCCCAGCAGTCCCAGCCCCGGTACCAGCAACGACTGCAAACCATACAGCTTTGACTGTCGTACTACTTTTGCTTTTCGCCTACTTTGTTTTTATATAAATTTAATAATAATCGAGGTTTAACTAAAGTATTCTAATCGATAAAACGAAAATTTTCCAATTGTGTAGGATTCTAGCTTGCATCCCCTTGCAATCCCTTCTTCAAACTATGCAATACACATTTGTTTTTGTTCCAGTTCTCATGTTATGTACAGCTATGATCAGTTTTATTCTCAACTTGTTTCGTGTTTTCCAATGTTTGATTCTTATACTTTTTTCACTACATTCATTTTATTAAAAATAAAAATGGCTATTTATAATGAATTGAATACACTTATAATCCTTTAATGCCCACATTTTATAAGAAACAAAAAGCATACAACTACAATGACAGAAAACAGACCCATGACTGTATTGCAAGAAGAGATACTCTGAGTCTGATTAGACTGCTCCTGTTCCTGTACTGGATCCACCTGCTCCTCGTGCGTCCTGTGTTCCTCTGTAATACCCGCAACCCATTTGTGTTATTCTAAAGCTGAGTTTTCAATTGTACATTCAGCTGATATGTATTTCAAAGCATATAGTGTGGCGCAGTTATGGTCTGGTGTAAAGAAAAAATTGATATTTTGGACAACTTACATATGGATTGTAAAAGGAATTCGTAGGATGATTTCTGTACAAAGGAACTTCTGTACAAAACGTTTAGTGTCCAAAACAAAAAAAAGTAGAAGTAAAACATACACAAAGTATGATTAAACATATAACAAACTTTTAGTATTTTAAAGGCTATAAACTATTTATATAACGAAAGGTCTATTTTACAAATGGTAATTGTTAAAAGTAATTGCAGTTAAACCATAACTGATATCATGTTTAGATATGCAAAGAAAATTTTCCAGAAACGTTAACACCTACCTAATGGTGAAAAATTGTGAAACTTTTGTCCAGTATGACGACGTTGTAAAACATAGATTGGCTTGCTGGCCTCAGTTGCTGAAGAACTACGCCTTCTTTGACGTGGATCCACATCATCTTTGCTACTATTAGAATTGCTCATGGCATTCATGATAGCAGCATGCATATTATGTGCTATATTATTATCTTCAGCTTCCATCCACAATTCACCACCACCAGTGACTGCAGAACGACCTACTTCCATATAGAAGATACGATCCATATATCCACACCGTCTGATGCAAATTAACTATTAAAAAGAAATTCATCATCAGTTAAATTTCTTGCATGTGGATGGACTTATTTCCACAGGTAGTCAGCTTACAGGAAATTCTATAGAATCTGAATTATCCTTTGCCCCAATTTTCACTAGGCTTAATGTTCGATCAGTTAAACACAGCCTATAGGGACCATGGATATTCTTTCTTTCACCCAGTCCTTTTTTCTGCATTGTAACTTGCCATACATGTTCTGAAACAAAATATTACATTTACATACATCTCACTATAATTGGTAATGTATGATATTGTACTGTGAAACTAACTGCCATTATAATGTTCAAATCTACCATAGCAGATTTACCAAAATCATATATTAAGAATAGCCTTACAATGTTCCCTGATATAACATCATCAGTATATAAAAAGTACTCAAAATACATTTTTTTAATATTGAGATATAATAATATCTACTTAAAATATTATAATACATTATTAAATGTATATAGTATATCGAAACATTGTTGGTCTATACTTTATTTTGTTTAAAATTTTATTACAAATATAAATCAATAATTGTACTAATATATATCATAAGTAAATGTTGAAAAGAAAAATACGATCGAGAAAAATTTTCTTTTCGCTTTATCAAAACAAATATACATACTTCTTATTTTGACCTGTGGTCTCTTTATTCTTTGTCGTGAAATTATAGACAATGACGTATTAAAAAAAAAACAAAAAAAAAATACAAAAATACAAAAAAAAAACAAAAACAGGTAAACAACTGGTTTGAAAGTCCAAAACATGGCAGTTTAGTAGCTCTCGTACTGATAAACACCAAATGTTTACCTAAAATTTTCGAAAGCTTTTCACGCGTAAAACATTTGTCTTCAATATGCGACCTAATTCTAATTCAAACCGTAATAGCGCATTACCAAATATAGGCCGAGGTTGCTCTCCATCGGCTACATCTCCACTCTGAAGTAAAAGCATTGCTTTCAACCATTCATCCAGTTCTTTTTCGCTTTCCAAAATCAAACAGAAGCATTCGTCTTTCGTGTATAATGCGATAACGTGCTTATGCTTGGTGTCCACGCGTTTATTGATATTAAAGCAGCTGTCTAACAAGATGCTACGTTTAGGTGGCTGTCTGTTCTCAAACTTCTTTTTGCTATCGTAATACTCGAGACAAGCAGGATATCCAGCAGCTTCGCCTCGTAGCACGAAGAATTTCTTCTTTTGAGTTTTCAATTTTTTCACATGTCCGGAGAGAACAACGGGACCTCCCGAGGGGGAGGCTAAACCCCTGCCCGAAGACATCGTCGCGGTGACGATCGAAAAGGCCGTCGTCGTCGCGATGAAAATCTTGCGGGTCCTTTAATGACACATCACTCTGTACCATTTACGTGGTACAGAACAGTTACGTATAATCAATTTGTCACGCGCATCTTCTATCAAAACACGCTATATCGATAGTCCATTGTGGGGAGAAATGCGTGGTTCCCACCCACGTTGTCCGTGAGTAACACTTCCGTTATAAAGGATTTTTAGCGAAAGAACGCAAAGCGAATATCCGAAGCAATCCAATCGTATATCACCACTTTCGTGCACATGACAGGAATTCGAAAATATGTATTTCAAAACTCGCAAATCTTATTGTTGTGTTTTTGCGCAACGTGTCTACCGTCCTGCTTTTATCACGGAAAGGTTGTCGTCGATATCGTTGTACTCGAGACACGCTAACGGTGGAAGCACGTGTCGGGGGTAAATAAGCAATAACACGCCACCACGGTGCATGTGCACTCAATGTGTACTAAGGGCGTCGTATAGATCGCTCCTTCCGATGCAGCCCGTGAGACAAGCGTGTACTACTATCGACTGACCACGTTTTCCGAGGTTATGAAATTAGGAAACACTTGATCCTCCAACAAAAACCGGAAATCCTTTCTACCAGTTCCATGGAAAACAGGGATCGTGTATACCTGTTCTGATTTCTACGATGGCGGTTCTAGATGGGCTTAAGTTCCACCTGTCACGCAATTTTGTCTAATTTCGCCCGCCACGATTCATCGCTCTGATATCCCAGAGGGGATTGTACGCAACTCGAGGTCAATAGTATTTGCAACTATTTGCGTATTTTGCATTTAATTAATGTCTTTATCGAAAAGACCCGCTGAAATCTTTCGGAAGTATTTTTCTGGGTTATAAGGCTTGTGCACCTGTTTATCGCGTCGAATAACACAATTTACTGCGTGGTCCACAATGGTTGGCGCGTATACACACAGAAGCACATATAAAAGAAACGCTTGTATACACGATGATACAGAAAAGACGGAGGAGACACACGCGGGCGTGTTCACGTGTACATACACAGCAGAAAGAAGTGTGTGTGTGTGTGTGTGTGTGTTCGCGCGCGCGCGCGCACGTTCCGTGGCCGTTCGCTCGTACGTTTAGAGGAAATACGTAGAGAGGTAGAGAAAAAGAGAGGAACGGGCGATACACACGCAGGTGGGTGGTTGAACCCCTCTTATAGCTGGTTAGCGCGGTATAAAGGTGGCCTGCTTCGGGTAAATAGGCTATTGTCAAGGGCAGTACGATTTTTTCATGCGCAATAGTAGGCACATCAAAACACGGCAGCATTCCAGGTCGATGAGAGAACGCACTTCTCTTCTCACACCCCTTATATATCGAGCACTTTACGGAAACACGCGAATGGAGTTCACGATGCGGTTAACAACACTACGCCAACGTGCACGGCATGTCCTGGGCACAAACTCCTGTTTGGAAACAGGCAAAATCTGTTCGCGACAATCACATCTGCTCGAGGTGAAAAATTCGGATCTCCCTTCGTACCCACCATCCCTCTCTTCCCCCTACCGCCCGCGTGCGAACGACAAATATCGCGTCACTTGTGATCACCAAGTTGTGTACTCTAACTGTTTTTCTTGAATAACCAAGTTAAAGATCACTTAATTTTGTCGTTTCCTCGGTACACATTAATGTTCACAAACGACACGCACGTATCTTGAACTTTTTTCCGTCGCACGCCTAGACAGCTAAATAGGCGCTCATGTCCATATTGTAAAGGTCATGTGTATGGTAAGCTCCGCAGTTGTAAACAAGATGTACGCAGGCGCTAACCGCTCGAATGGCGGCGACGGCGGCGACTCGATACGCGATACGCCACGACCGTAAATACACATCCGTACGTATGTATGTACGTACGTATGTACGTATTTACATACACATGCGGTTGTCTCTTTTGCAGTGGCGTAACTATCCTGCCGACTAAACACCGCAATGCGGTGTATCCTTTCGGAAGTCGTCCGGCTTGCGCTACATCCTCTTACAAAAATCTAAGTAACCAGTGATTTAGTTTCACCGCAGCTGTATACATATATACTAAGTGAACTTACGTATCTTGCTTATAAAATTTCTTGCAAATTCATAGTTGTTTCACCTTTTATAATTAAAAATAACTTAATACTATTAGGGATAACAGTTACGTGAAAATTACATGATGAATGATATAAAAAATATTTTTATAATTGAAAATGTGTATAATAATGTTTGAGTAATGATATGAATTTTTGTCATTACAATTTTTATTACGCCACTGCTTCCTTTAATGTCTCACACTGACATAGAGCGTCATAATATGTATAGAGACATGCGCTTGCACGAACACGTATGCGTGCTTTCAAGTCAAGGTGGACGACTATGGATACACGCATTTCGCTCGCGTCGTTCTGGGTATTGGATCCTCATCGGCAGGGTCGTTTGTAAACACATACGTAAGCACATAAATAAATTCCTCTCCACTAATCGGCCATACTAATCGTTTTGAACAGTGCTAAAGGAGAAAATATAGTTTCTAATAAAAAGTGATGCATAATGTTGCACAACTCGCAAAGTAAACATAGTCATGGTTAAATTTGCATGATATCAAAGGCCGCAGATAAACGTTATTCGTGTAATTCATTGGTCCTGTTATAATATGTAAATTAAGGTGAAGTATGTGTTTCACAAAGTAGTTGAAATATTTGATATTCATGCACAAGGTCCAGAGTTCGTACTCGTCCAATTCTGAAATCTTTTCCATGTGATTCATACTCTGTGTGCTTAATGATCTAGGAATTACTTAAACCATTAGCTTAATTATTAGTAATTATTGTACCGAATGTTATCACTTAAAAAATAGTGATAAGTCAAATCCAAGTAATTAATTGTAACTGTTGTATTTATGAAAAAATATAAGTATTTATTTTTTTTCAAAGAACAACAAATTTACTTATACATAATTATGTGGTATGAACTTAAAAATTGCTTCACTTACATCTTACAAAAAAAATGTAACTTTGTCTATTTACTTATAATACTTTTCGAAACTATAAAAAAGTGAATTATGAAAATCTTACGTCGGTATAGATAACTATACATACTTACATCTAAATGCAGTCAATATTTTAGAAAGATAAATCAGTCATAGATTGAAATAACTTACAAGTAATAGAGTATATTAGAAAGCGATTGATGCGGTTCCAACTGTATGTTTTGTCCAACAAGAGATACTAATTTGTGTGCATACTGACATGGAGCAGGAACTTTTATGGTACCTGGCCAATTATAATATAAGTGGCACAGCTTATACGTTAATCGTTGTAAATGTTCTGGTTTCATATTTTTATTGTCGTAAGCAACGATATAATGCGTCGGTGACACTGTACCCTGGCGTATGTTTTGAGAGACTAAATAAAAATCGTAGAGATAAGGTTTCGTTATATAGGAATCTACGATTGTTCCTGGTGGAGGATTTTCCAATCCCATTGGCTAAAATAAAAGACATTGTATGATTAAAAAGCATAAATTGTTAACGCTTATTTTTTTCATTGGTAACTTACCAATTTTGCAAATAATCGCGTAGTAATGCGTTTTTGAACTATTATAACAGTTAACGTTGGCTGGTAATTCGGTTCTATATTTTTCAATATAGCCAACAATTGTTTTACTTCGTATTTAGCAACTGTTTCTATTTGACCGTCTCCAACACCATCGCGATATACAATAATGCGATCTGGATAATGTTGGTTATGCTGCGATAAGAAACACATTAATAACGAAGAATATTATTGCATATAATACACATTAGCACAACTTACTTTGTGGTAAGCTTTTAGTGCCGAAATCATGCAGATTTGCAGCATATCTATTAATTCTTGATGTTGACCTTGTAGACAAATTTTACTGTGCCAAGTTGTTAATAATTTGTCTAGACTTGCTACAAAACCCGCAACGCTACCTTTTGTTGACTGGCCAATGCCTGCATGATACACATCTATCCCACATATCATGCAATTATCCTAATGCAGTAAAATTGATCGTTTTGTTTCTCTTGAACTTGTTTTTTAAAAGTAAATTATAAATAGAAATATTTATTTCATACCATTGGTATGGCCAATGCCCAAAGTGCTCCACCTAGTTTACAATTAATTTGTAGCGCAATTTTTTCTGTTATGCTTTTTAATTTGTCAGCCCGACAAATAGTTCGGGATATTATTACTTGGGAAGGTACAGGCATTTCGACGCAGCACACTCTAAATATCGAATAAAGTATTTGTAGTATATAATTTTTAATTGTCAAAGATCATATCATACCTTTTTATTGCAGAATACCTATCGGTTCGATTACTTGGAAGTACGATCACCATCAAGTTGACATGTTCTCGTATGTTATTTCGTAATGCTTGTAAAAACGTTTCAATTCTGTCATCTCTCAGAGATATTAATTGTGGTTCTCTAACACATATGCCCATGACTTTAGTAACATTTTTCAACATTTGAACAAACTCCAGTGCGCATTTTGAATCTCTTTGACAATGCAAGACGAACCAACTATTTAAATTAAGCTAAAAATATAGTTGTGTTGTTGAAAAATGTTGCATTATTATAATAAATACATTATGATGTAGAAAAACACTTACAGTCCTCAGTGAAGGATTTCTACACGCAGCAGAACTCCATTCCGCTGGTTTCGTATCGGACCAATACTTGCAGTCTTTACCGAACATAATAGTCTCGGGTTCAAAAACTCTACCTTTAAATTCTGCTAAATCAGGTTCTAATTGCAACCCCCATTCAGCTAAAATCTCCCGCGGTATATCGTTATTTTGTATTTCTTGCACAAAATGTCTAAATACATCGCGTCGAGCATTAGGAGTCATTTTAGTTAACGCATCAAGATCTTTCATTACTCTAAAATCTGAACGAATACTATCGCTCAAACTTGCTGTATGACATAATTCAGGAACCAACAATATCAATTGTTCTCGTGTCTGTACTTAAAATTTTCCCAGTAGAAGTAATTGACATTTATGTTTTACATTAATTTAATTATATTAACAGAACAACATTACTCACTTCACCCGTAGGTAATTTAGTTTTACCATTGTGAACCAAAAGCGGCTGCTTTGTATCCTTTATTTCTAAATTCCAATGATATTTATAATAATTTAGTAATGTTATTTTATTGCCTCCCTTATCAAACGTGTACGTTGGATTCTTATCCCACGCTATATCATCGACACGGTAAGTTTTATTATTGTATTTTGTAAAAACCGATAGACCAATTAACTCCCTTGTAATAGCATCCTTAAAATTTGGTTTATTTCCAAATGTAATCCTGTATCGTGTTACTTTTTATTAATATTAAATTAATTTTATAGGGTGAATACTTAATAATAGTATAAACCTTGTAAACCTTACATCATGTCACGTACTGTTTCCGTACGCATAACACGATGACGTGCATCTATACATAATTTTAAACCACCCTCATATTCATTGATGGCTGTGACATAACCGGGCCACACTTCTAATTTATGTTGTGGCACAGAATGTATTCCCTTTGGGTTGAAGCTATGTTGGCCAATGCGAACTAAACTAAGGGCTCGCATAACACGGCCAAGTAAAACATTGAAGAATGGAATGTTTTCTGACATACTTTGCTTTTTTTTGTATATCATTGTTAACATTACTTTTGACCCATCCACCGGATGTATAGATTCAAAAATAGTTGTCTAAAAGTAGTTGTATGTCATATATGTGTTTATCTATCCATCTATATTTCATATCTTCTTATTATAGTAAAGATTCGATGAAAGCGAAAAAGATTGGTACGATAAATTTAAAGAACTCATCCCTACCACTGGGGGGTATACCCTTTGGAATGCTATGAAGTTCGTTTGCTGAGTAGTGTAATATGATCTTGAAATCGGATATATCATTGAAATAATACTAATGCAACGACTGAACTTGGTTATTTTTCATTTTTTTTCTTATAAAATTTTAAATTATACCAAACACGATATAATTTGTACTATATTTACTTGTTAAATTAATGATAATAAGTTTCGGTCACAGGGAAGAATAGGGAATGAAAAAAGAAAAAGAACTCGTTGTCCTTTCTTTCATTCGAAGCTGTCGCCAAACTTCTAATAATATAGAAACTGCACGATGTAAGCGAAAGTTCGGTCCCGAACACTTCGCTTTCATCGAATCTTTACTGTGCTATCATTACTTACATCCTGTTTTAACTTTTGAGGTAAATACAGTGTAACTCCATCAAACACTTTTGTTCGTCCAAGCGCTTGTAAATGTTGATTAAGAAGTTTTCGGCGAAGTGGTCTTGAATCTATGTCGGGATTAAATTTAACTTCATAGTTAAACAGTCCTTTTTCTGGATTTAACTTGAGATTTATATAGTTGCCACTTAGTTGTATCCTGAAAATTAATTATCATTTAGTAATCCATTTTATAGTGATAGTACTAATCACAAATATTAATACTTACGGTTTTCCACCTGTTCCCTGTCGAGAAATAGGTGGAGGTTTTGGATATGATGGTTCAGAACTACTTGTACGCTCATGTAATTTAATGTCAGATAATTTGCCTATTACACCCTCATCAGTAGGAGGTGGTCCAGAAACTTTTGACTGTTGAGGCTGTTCAACAGCCCTAAAAATGTATATTTTATTGTTTAAATGTACAAATATTTTTCATAAAATACAGAAAATTACAATGAGAAATATGTTTTAAAACACATACGCAGTGGTTCTAATTCGGCTTAATAAGGATCCTCTGCCTATATTTGGTGGAGCTGGTTTAGGGCTTGGTACTTCTGTAGGTCTCATTCCTTTTATTACATTTAATAAACTACTTCTGTCACAGCCCACTGTAGAAGAACTTGCTGAGATCATGTGTCTTCCAACAGTGGATGGAACAGCAGATTGTGTTTGGCTAGGTATCACAGTAGGAATAGTTGCTGATGTAGACTGTGTTTGACTATGTATGCCAGAAGTGCTTAATGTAGATTGTGCTGCACTTTCCTTTTCAGCTTTGTCCTTCTCCTTTATTAATTTTAAAAGGAGAGCTCCTCTTCCTTTACCAATCTTTTCTTTGTTTCCCTCCATTTCTTTTTGGATATATTACAAAATATAGTTTAACAATAATTGTGATAAAATTATTAAGAAATAGGTTTTATATTTATTAAATATAAATTATAATTAAATAATATAAGAAATGTTATGTACTATTACAAGTATTATATTATAGAACTAATTGCTAGAAGAAAAACATTAGAGGTCACAAAAACTTTCCTATGTTTGTTTACAGAAATATTTTCTCTTTCAAGGATATTACCTTATTTCTTAAAAAACATCTACAACCTAATCTATAGTATTATATCAATGATACATATTGGTAACAACGAAATAAATATACCACGTGGTATGAAAAAATAACTTAGTGTATATGAATAAAAAGAGAGTATAAAAGTATTTATTAATTAAAAAGAAATTTAAGAAAGGTAAATACAGAAAAATATAGGTTATCTATTAATACAAGAAGAACATTACTGAACATTATTGGAAAATACTGCATCTGGAACTTTTACGTTCTTCCGGAAGTAAATCTTCTATTCCTTTCATATTGTTTAAATATATTTATACATCATGATCATATCGTTACATCTATAAAAATTTAAATAGTAATATGATAGTAAGTTGATAATGATACTTACCTTTTATATGAGAAAAACTGTATTTCAAGGAGCGAAATAAGAGACTAAATACTTGTACTTAATTGTATCAAAAACTAATTTATAATATTGGAAGTTAGATACGATGTCTCACACGCTTTCTCACTTTACACAGTTACCGCCGCTTTTAGTTGTGCTAAAACCACCTAATGCAAAGAGGAAGAAAGAAATTTATAGCCAACCGATAAAATATCTCTATACACTGGCAAACAAAAAAAATATTTATTTTAATCAATAATTATCGCATAGATCAAAAAGTAAAGCTTAAGAACGATATTTATTTGATGTTTGCTATTATTATAGCGGTGAAAATATAAAATACTTTAAGATATAACACCCATTTTCTAGAAACTTTTTGTAAATTTGAGCACGCTCGGCGTCGGCTGTGGCTCGGCGTCCCTCTAGGGAAAATGGCGGTCTAAGCCAATGGCGGGGAAGGCGTCCCGCCAAACTATAAAAGTTTCCTACCTAAGGTAAGCGGTGATCGAGCGATCAATCTTAAAATTATTATAATTAATTAATTCATTAATTAATTACTGGTTGGATCCTCACAAAACCTATATTAAAAAGTTGCTATGGGCATAAAGATTAAGAATCAACCATACGTCACAGACGTCTTTGCGCTTAACTAAGTATAATTAATTATTTTGACAATCGACTTTTGAATTGAGCTCATTATTCATTTTACTGGTTAATTAACGAATCGACTCGCTTTAGCGACTAACTATTTATTTGAGAGAATTTTGTTCTTTCTCGAATACAAAAGTATCTCTGGGAATTAGTATCATACTCACGTGGTGGGGACACGTTCAGTAGCATCTTTCTTTGAGAAATTTCCTACTACAGTAGGGAACAATCGTGTCCTGTAAATCAGCATACATTTAATTTTCAATTAATTGTAATCTTCTTAATTTTACAAAATGTAAAGCAAACGTTTTTCCAAATATGTGTGTTTCAAAACTTGAGGAACTTGTAGAAATCTCTTTACAGAAGAAAAAAGATAATTCCCTGCTACGCTCTCCACAATAGAAACGAGAAAGTAAAAAACAAAGAAGAGAAAGGGAAGGGATTCAGACACATAAACTCGCAGAAATGGCAGCAAGTCGTTTTGCAAAGCCGCAACGTACGATCCGGCCAGCAGCAGTCGCGCTAAATAATCATAACTCAGAGAGACATTTGTAACGCCAGCCTCTCGCTCGTATTTATCGCTGTTGTTGGACGGTTTGTTGCAGCAATAACGGTAATGGGCCACCCCCGCCTGGCCACCACCACCCCTTCGTACCACCCCGACGACCCTCGAATCCGCCGCCACTGGCGGCTACCCCTTGCCGAGCGATTTATCCTCGGGTAATTAGCACGGGTAATAATTAATGCCGCCGCGCATTGTGCTAATTATCATCGGAGAACCTTTTAAGAAATGAAAGAACATTCGAAATAAAACAGAGAGAGGCTGAGAGGACGATGGGAATGTTGGATGGGGGATGTAGAGAGGGGAGGGTACGTTAGGGAGATAAATAGAATGGTAGAAAGATATTTACAATCCCGGGAACGAGTCTCTGTTATAATAAGTGCTAATGAGAAAGCACTAGAAGCGTTAAAGGTGTGTAGAAGTTTAGACCGAATAGAAATTTTTGGAAGGATTTTTAATTTTTGATTTTTGGGAGATTCATGGTAATTTGGAGGATGGGGTTGGATTTGGAGCAATTGGTATTGAGAGTCGAACAGTAAATTTGTTTTTACATACAACATTAAAAGTTGCTAGCCAACGTGTTAATTTCCATTATTTCAAAATTGACGGTAACCCTAAAAATTCCTCAAAATAAAAATCTCCATGGTGGTCACTCATTCTGAAGACTCCATCGTGGAATAATCGAAAAAAAGCTCTCTCTGATGGCGACGAAGTGGAGACAACTAGATGTTCAGGGGTGCAAGGGGTAAAAGTAGTGGTGTACGAGGGCGGAGAACGGAGAAACGTAGCGAGTCGTTGGAAGAGGTCGGGTCTACGGGATGTTTGCGCGCCTACATATATGTATGTATTCCGGGCTCGAGTAAGAGGCTGCTGGCATTCGTATACAGCCAGGTAACGTAGGAAACGTGAAATGTGTACGTGTGACCCCATACAAACGACAGCCAACGTAGCCAAGCAGCTATCCATCAGGGTGCTTTTGTCGCCCTAATGAGAGACTGAATTATTCAGCTTAGAGAACACCCCTCTCTCCGAGGACCCCTTTCTATCCTCCTTCTGCTGCTTGCACCCGCTGGAAAACTTAAGAGTTCCTCGTTCATTCCGGTGCGTAGGTTAACGTGCGCTCTTCATCCACCAATTTGATGGAATTTTCGTATGGAAGAATGTTTTTCTGGCTGAGATTTCAGATTTTGCGGTTGACATTTTTTTTATTGTGCTTCTCGAGAATTATTGTGTGGGGGGTGATCAGAGGAACAGTGGAATCTCAGCCATCGAATTCGTTCCTTAAATTCTGTCTTTGGAGGCAGCGGCTACGCAAATCCCATAAAATATTCATCGTCCATCAAGGGAGAGCTGCACGAAGGTCGCATCCCTATTAAATCTAACGAAGAGATTTTTCGCCAGGTTTTTTCATCCGGCCGGGTCTGTCAACTAATTTCCCCGGCGATTTTAAAATCATGGCCGTAGTAGCGTCGATTCATCCCTGCATTCCCGGTTCCTTTTCAAAACTGGAACGTGAACCATAAATGCTTGAACGGCCTTAAGACGTCGTTTTACTTCGTGGAACGTATAAATACGAGCCTTTACCTAGCGCGACCTCTTTCATATACATATAACTTTGCCCCCGTATTGCACACGTTCCTGGCGCCTATGCAAAGCTCATTTCCTCGGAGATAATTGCACTGTGATATCGTGAAACTCATCCTTTTTGTGTCAGACACGGGGGTAGAGAGATGGAGGTAGCTCGGTTTTATTAAAGTTCTTTGCACGTTGATGCCTTACTTTTATGCTACCGTTTCACGCTGGAAAACTTTCCAAAGTAAGTCGATAAAGTTCCTGGTAACTAACCGGTTGCTATTCCAGATTTTTCTGGAAACACGTTATGAGCTTTCGTACGGCTAAGCTCTTATGATTATGCAGAAAAATATGGGGTAAATGTAAGGTAAAACGTTAAACGTTGTTGAGATTGCTGTAAATTTAATAATAAAAGAAAAATATTTAGAGAATTCTGAGTAACAGTAACAGTATTATTTATGTTAATTTTCAAACGTGGCAAGTGGAAATTTTCAATTGCAAAATGAAACAATCGTTCTTTGAATAATTACTATCTTGCTGACCCATATTGCCCATTTTTACTGTGATACTAAACTAAAAAGATAAATACAAAAATTCGAAGTAAAAAGGTTTAAATCGAAAAATTAATAAAGTGCCTTAAAAATCGATTTTTACATTAAATCGAATAAAATTAAATTTTACTTAATAATTATACTGGAGGGTAGAAAAGATCAATTAAGTGTATACCTTTTGAAGTAAATGATTTATCGAGTCCCTGAACATATGCGCTCCGTGTTTTACCCTTAAATAATCATATGGGGTTGCGATAATGAAACATTTAAAAATATACATTACCTACACATTGAACACTTTCATCGTCGGATAAAACTTTTGCCTCTGGCTATTCATCAATTAATCAAGCGTATTATCACGTCCTGTTAATGTAATCAGAAAAATATAAAACAATTGTAGTTTAAAAGGGTGCAATTTCATTAAAGTTCTTAAAAGTATGGGTTTAAATAAATCCATTCAGAGACTAGAACAATACATCCAGTAGAAATTAGCCAAAGACCAAGAAACTTTGTTCTCATTCCCAATAGCATCCTGGAATCCACTGGCAAATCCCTTAAAGCAATTCTCGCCACCCCATCACAAGAAGAATTACCTTCGCCATTGAAGGATCGAGACGCCTCGAAATTGATCAAATTTCTGTCTCTGGCGTAACGATCCGGACCCAGGAGGTAGCGAGAACAGACGTCGGTCTAAGGGTGCGGGTTGAGAGTCCGGGAGGGGGTGCGCGAAAGACGGACGGGCCGCTACATCCGCAAAGCTATTATAACCGCTCGAGCGAATCTCTATTAAAACGTGTTTACACTGGCTTAGGGGTTGACTCAGGCCGCCCCTCCTAGTCCTTGGTTTCAGCCAACTCGGTTCCGTGCCACTCCTGCAGCATACATACACGTGTGGCCAGGGTTTCTCGCACACTTATACATCTAGTAATGCCTATCTAATTGTCGCGTGTATGAATAGTGAATCCCGGAGCACTCGAGGCTATGAGCCAGATCCGAGCTAACATAAGGGGAGAGCCATATGAGCTAATCTATATTATGATAGCCCGACCCGCGGGCTTCTAGACCCCTCACCCCTGCTGCATCACTCCCTTCGACCAAGCAAGCTTTCTTCCTAACCCGTGTTTCAAGAGAGCTAGCCTCATTGGCGTAACTAGAATTTTTGTATGGGCTGGGTTAGCTCCTCTATCTTTACTAAAACTGTTTAGTGTTATTTAACAGGTTGATTATAATGGTAGGCACTGATAGACGATACGTTGTTATGCTTCAAATGTAATCTAAGGGAGGCTGCAACCCCGAGCAGCCTTTAATTACCTTGTTTATGTGACAAAGTCAACAAATGAGCACCATACCAATTACGGGTTAATGATATAAAATAAAAAATGGAACTAGATCCACCCCTAGGCCTCTATCTAGTTACGCCAGTGGAGTTGGTCCATATTGGGATGTAGCTTTATTATTACCTAACCGCAGCTACATATACCTTTTGACGATGGATAGGATCGCCATAGATTCCCGCGTGTGGACTCTATTCAGATTCTTGTGGATGATGGTGGGGATCGTTTTTTAAGTTGCCTTCTTTCTTTGGTCTGGGTAATGAGATCGTGGTTACTGATGTTTGAGCTCCACTATGTGAACCGTGAATTTACGTGCTCGGCGGATGCGTAAAAACGATGAAGCCCTTAGGTGATAATACTTTTTGTTTGTTCGTTTTCTTTTATATGTAAGACGGTTTGAGAGGTACGTAGTTTGGTTTTCCTTGGGGAACAGGAGGAACTTTGAAAAAGAATTCCTAGATTTTGGTTTCTGTAATATTCAAGTAAATTTTACTTTCTAAAATTAGGAATTAAG